CCTGCTGCTTCAGGGATTAGGAATTTCCAACATTCAAACCACAGCGTTTGGGAGGTGGATTCTAAATCTAAAATTAGCAGGCAAGGAGTTTATTAGAGTATGCTTTGGGTTGAGCCCCTTCTGGGGAAGGGTTGGGGAGACAGAGAGGCTGGGCTGTGATATGGCTTACCCTGGGGAGAATTTTGCAATTGGGACAGCCTTTATGGAGTTGTCTGAGTTGGGGCCTAGAGTCCAGATTGTTGTACTCTTGTATCAATGAGTCATTGGGTGTGAGCTGACCTCAGGAAGGGGTAAGACATTGGTTGAGATCTCAGTTTTCAGCCAGCTGAAGGCAGTTCCCTGAAGCTGAGAGCTGAATGTTGTTGGAGGATCCCTCATGCCCTGAAGTTGGAATTTGGGTGGCACAGCATAGTCTGTTAGAAAGGTGCTTATTTTTTGAGAGACCAACTGAATGAACTAAAGTACTTATGATATGGGTAGGCAGAAATCAGTGTAGACTATCAAAATGAACTTTAGCATTCCACAGATTTGGATACCAGAAACTAAAATTAATGAGTTAGTCTGTTTTTGAAAGAGTATACCCTGAGATTTTCACATATTCTAGTATAAGTACTCTGTATCCTTCTAATGACATCTGATACTAGAGTAATGACCACAGGAAAGGTAACAAAAATCATAACTAACACTTTACTAAATGGTTACTGTATGCCAGGACTCTTCCAAGTGCTTTATTTATCATCTGATATTTAATCCATATAATCACTTGTTTGGGGTAGGCCAACTTTATTTTATTTTTTTTTTTTTTTAGTTGTAGAGGGACACACAATATCTTTGTTTACTAATTTGTTTTTTTATGTGGTGCTGAGGATTGAACCAGTGCCTCACACATGCTAGGCAAATGCTCTGCCACTGAGCTGCAGCCCCAGCCCCAAGGTAGGTCAACTTTATTAAGCTCACTTGAAAGATGAGGAAACTGAGGCAGAGTGAGTTTAAATAGCTTGCCCAAGTTTACATAGCTAATAAATCGTGCTGAGTCGCAAATTCAGGCATGGGAAGCAAAAGTGAAAAGACCAGAACCCAAAGCAAGGTTTTCTTGGAAAGAGATAATGTCTGATGCTTTGAGAGTTGGTCATATGAGGTTTCCCCAGGCAGTGGCAGTGGGCACAATTGGCCCCTTCTGTTTCCACAAGTAGGCCTGCTGTAGAACTGTGATACACATCTCTATCTCCTGCCCTGGTTCCCAAGTGCCTTCAGGGTGTTCAAAGATATTGTTTGAAGAACTGAATGAATGTACTAGAAGGAATATTTTTAGAGTTAAAACCCTGTGCAATTTATTTGTTCTCTCTGTGCCTCAAGTTTTTATTTTTATTTTTTATTTTTTAATCTATAGATAGGAAATGATGTCTCAGGGATAAAGTGAGTTCTGGAAACAATCGTTAATAATAATAATCATCTGTCATATAGTGTTACGTAGCATTTGCTCTCAGTAAATAGGAACTATTCTCATTGTTATTATAATTTTGTTCTACAGGCTGGAAGATGGTAGTTGGCTTTAAAAAGGCAAAGAAGAAGTAAGAATCTCATTCTTTTAGTTAACTTTGGAAGGCTTGACTATATTATCTCTAGAGTTCTGTTTTAAAAATAAGTAAGGAATCCTAGATTTTGATGTTTTGGGGGGGCAGAGTTTCTTTTTTGTTTTTTAACAAAATAATTTGTACTAAAGTAAAAATGAAATTTCCTACTTCCATCCTGCCCCACCAAGCCCTCTTCCAATATTTTCCAGGCACGTCTTGTTTTTATTACCCCTGCATTAACAGGCCTACTTGAAGGAGCTTACCATGACCCAGGAAATGGAGGCTGACTAAAAATGGAGGAGGAGAAAGGACGAGGAGACATAAAAGGAATTTTATGTTCTTTTTAAGGAGTCATTAAAGTAGCATAAAATAAAAACCTTAAAATACCACACAATGTCTTGTTTAGATAAGACACAGGAAAGACTTTTTAGAGACAGATTGAAAAGCAGAGGGTGTCTGTCTTTGACAGTTAACTCTTGGGTCACGTTGGGGTTATCGGTCAGCGTTTAGTTGCACGCAGGAGAAACCACTTCAGTTCTTTACGCAGGGACTTAGCATGGGATGGGGAGGAAGTGTGGAAGGACTGGAGGAGCAGGCCTAGGCTGGACCCCCAGCAGCTACCCAAAGGACAACTAAAACTGGCCTGGCAGAGGGCTGTGAGTTGGCACAGGTGGGAAGCTGGAAAATCAGCAGGTCACAGGCTCACTGTTGGTTACAGGGTCATGTTATCTATGAGGAGACGCACAGCTCAGGTAACATGCCACCTGGGGTCAAAGTCCAGGGAACAGGAAGCTGGCTCCAGCATCCTAACTCTAGAGCCATGATCTGCTTCCTGAATCTGCACCAGTAAAGTAAACATCTCCTCATCCTCTTGACACAGGCTTGAATTCGAGTCTTGACTAAGTGCATCTTCAAATGAGGAATATTTTTAGAGTTAGAGTTAAAACCCTGTGCAATTTATTTTTAACGTGCTTTTTAATCTGTCCAGATTTTGCCATGCAGAAAAGCATGGTAGACAGAGTTTGAAGTGGGGGCTGAGAAAGCCCTTATACTTACTGCCACAACAGAGGCTCATAAGGTGGGAAATTGGGATGCTTGAGGGCTTCAGATTTTTCTTTTCTGTTCTGCTTGTTTTTGAATGTGTGTGTGAAAAGAATGGCAAGTAAGTGTTTCTAAGCATAAACCACATGTCCACCTTATGTGGATCCTGTAATTAATTTCAGTTACAGAACTTATTTGGATTTGAGCAAAGTCCAGTGCTTTTCTAACAGGAGGTATACTAAGAGAGAAAAGACAATTTCTTAAGTGGTGGAATGTCATTGGAAAAGGCAATATCCGTCCTTAAACAATTTATAAGATCCACACCCAGTAATACCTCATGAAGAAATGAATAACAGCTCAAATTCTCACAGAGAGACAAACATAGTTAATAACAATAAACTTAATGGAGAGGTTTATTTTGTAATATACTTGAAAAAAAAAACACCATTCTTTTGTGGCATGCTCAAATAATGCCCAAGTTATTTCCCTTTAGACTATTCGGCTGCTACTGGATGCTTGAATCAAAATCAACTTTCTTTTCAACAATAGCATAAGACAGTAGTTATGTTTGAGGCTTGATTGACTAATACAGTCACCTGCAATCTCTGTGACTGTGAGGTTGGACATCACATCTTTCACCACCATTAATGCTGTTTCTTCAGTACCATGGACATAGTAAGCAGGCCACAAATATTCATCGATCATCTTAAAAACGAAAAATGGAGTGCATGAATGAACAGTTGCTAAGTAGATCATATCTTTATTTTTAGTGGCGATGAAGCAATGGGAAAGTTAATAGGGGTTTTCTCCTTTGGCAAAGCATGCTTTTAACATTTGAGCCATTAAGAAAAACAAGAATGCTTATGAAACAATCTCTGGATATCATAGGCAATTATTTCCCTCATGAGAGTTTTACTCCAGACCAGTACTTATTTTAAATGAGGTTCACACAGTGATTATAATTTGAGCTTTTTATTCCCTGAAGATAGAACTTTGGACACACAGAAGGACCATCTTCTCTTGGTAGCTTCCTACCTCTAGCCTTCTTTTCTGGTCCTCATTCATACTTCTCATGTTCACCTAGATTCTACCACTCAACCCAGAATGACTAATTCCTTAATGTTTCTCACTTCTCCTGAACCAGGATCAGTGCTGTCCTTTTGGATCCTTGCAAAGACCAGTGGGCAGAAAAAAAAAATTCATTCTGCAAATGATAAGCTGCAAATTATTTTTTTTTCCCATTGAG